AAATACGATAATTTTGAGCTGCTGATACGATAATTCAACATTTCCCACCTGGCAACACTGGTGAGGAAGTTCGTCTTAAAGACACGTCCCAGTGGTGTTTCTGGCCCAAAAGGTGTCGTTTGTCGTTTGCTCCTCAGCATGTCTTCCTAAAAACTCTGCAGGATTTCTCAAACATGCATGAATGAGTCAAAGCAAGGCTTTGGGCATGTTTTTATGAGAGTATAACATTATAACATGATACAAAACTCTAAAAAGTTGATTCTACATTATATTACCCCTTTAAATTTGTTAACAGTTGCAATAAAAAGTGAAAAATAATCACACAGGTTCTTATTTTTGGCATCTTGAATTTATTTTCATAGATGGTTTTCAGAAACACTTCGTCTTCAAACTGCTTTAGCTTTTAACCCGGCGGATGGACCCAACAGTGGGATCCCGGCCCCCCCACTCAGAGTACTGCCTGTACTCGCCCTTCTCCAGCAGCATCTGGCGCCCCCTGTAGTTGGGATGCTCATAGAAGATCCAGGCTCCTTCCWACACTTTGCAGGAGTGGACGTCTCGGTTCTGCCAGAGCTCAAGGAAGGTCGGCATGTTTTCCCTCAGCTCCAAGGATTCGCCCTCGAAGTTCGGCTTCTCCCAAATGGTCATTCTCCACGAGCTCCCCACCTTGAAGGAGAAACTGTCCATTTTAAATCTGAAGCAAATTTAACTTTGTTCTTGAGTTTGTTTTCTTGGAAAAAAACATTTATGACACAAAATTGAGAAGTAGCAAACTAAAACATTGTTTTTGTTAAACCTACTTGTCGTATGATGCGACAAGACCTGATGGCGTCGTTAATGCCCAGCCAGTACTGGTAGTCCGGATACTCTCCTGGACTCAACACGTACTGGTGTCCAATGTAATTTGGTCTCTCGTAGACTACCCAGAATCCTCCCAGCACTTTGATGGATTTGCAGCGGCTGATGTATGTGTGCATCTCACTGGAGTCATTGACGCACTCATGGTATCGACCCTGGAAGTTCCTGTCCTCGTAGAAAATGATCTGGAAAACGGAAGCATTTGGGTAAATTGTCCAACAATGTGCACAAGCGTATGAAACATAAAGTGGTGAGTACCTTCTCCATAGTCAACAGGTTTCAGGGTTTAAAACAAAAATAAAGCAGACACCTCCAGTTTTCTCTTTATACAGAACTAAAACAATTAGACTAAGCACATGGTTTGCCTTGTTTGAGCTGCATTCTTCAATCAGCGATTCAAATATTTATCCAGGCCGATCACATTGTTCCCCCAGACAAAGCYAATGCAAAGTGGAGGGCACAACTGGCTTGCTGACAGAAATGGGGGCACTGCAGGACGTTTGGGTCGAAACGAAGCATTTAGAGCTGAGTCAGTGACCCGGCAGGAAGGCACCAGAATCTGTACTGCAGTGTGGTATTTTATCCTGCAGGACAATTTCAAATCAAGCAAGTTTAACCATGTATTCTCCCCAGCTGCCAAAGGCGAAAAGGGCGACAATGTTTCTGCCCATMTCTGTGGGTTTATTAGCAAAATATRTCAGGAACTCCCAAAAGTGATCCTTGGACATCCTACAGCTGATTAACTTTAGATTAACCCTAAATCAAGATATCCGACACAGCTGGTCAACAAACAGGCTATGCCTCAGTAAGTTTGATAAATACTGAGCTAGAATTTGATGTGGTAGAAGTCAAGAGGGATCTCTTTGCATTTCCCTGTTTTTARGATTTTTCAATTAAGCACACAAGACAAAAATACCTGTAAGTTCTGCTAAAAGTAAAGACATCAGAGATGACCTCACTTTCCAAAGTATCTGGAGTTCACCTTTCTACAGAGATCATTTACAAGTAGAAACATTTAGGACAGCTGTTAATCTTCCCAACAACAAATGTCCCAGCAAAGTCTCCCTAAAATTCAGARCGAGGAATCCTTAAAGAAATTGGAAAATAATCCAAGAGCTCCTTTACAGACTTTATAGAGCTCAGTTAGCTGGTGAAAGGTGTAAAGTCCATGATGGGACAATTAGAAAAACAAAAGAATAAAAAACAAAACAATTCTGAAGTTGAAGACATTTCATTTTCCATCCAGAAAGCGTTTTCAATTCCAAAATGTCTGGAGCTCCGAGCTTTTTGAATTGAGAAAGCTTCCTGAACGGGAAGCGTAACATCTTCAGTTTCAGAATAGAAGTCCATTTGTTTTGTTTTTTAACCTTCTGTTAGAATAATCACGGCCTGGATGACAGAATGTGTACTGACAATAAGGAAAATACTTTATAAGTGTGGCTTGTTTGGAAGGGCTGCAGGAGAAAGCCTTATCTGTCTCTAAAAAACAAACAAAAAAAAAACACAATCAACTAACTTGAATTTCTGGAGGGACGAGACCAAAGTACAGACATTTACACAGCGCTATATTTGATTCAAAAAATAATAAAAAAATATCAGCATAAACAACTCAGACTAACTGTCAAGCATGGTGGTGGAGGSGCAATGGTTTGGAGTCACTGAGTCGACCTTGATCTCTGCAGACCAAAGGATTTTACAGACCAAAGGAGTCTACAACAGGACAGCAGGAAAAATAAAGAATTATGGTTCTGTAATGTRCCAGTCAAGGACCAGACCTCACCCTGATTGTAATGTTGTGGTAGGGCCTTAGACAGCTGAGAAGATACTAACATCWGCAGACTTCAATGAACAGAAGTCATGTTTTACAAAGAGTGGGACAAAGTTCCTGATTGATAAGGTCACACAGAAAATCACTGTAATTGGTTCTAAAGTTCTACAAGCTGCTGAATTGAGGGATGGAATTAGTTTTTCACACAGCTTTTCCATTTTGTTTTTGTTTATTAAATAATGACACAAGTGAATCTGTTGTGAGTTTTTGTACACTTCAGGTTACATTTGAATCATTTTAGAACCTGGTATAGACCAGATTGTTTAATGTAAAACCCTATAATTAAATGAGGGTCAGTAACAGCAATATMAAACTTTTGTAGGTTCAAATAAAGTTAATTTTGGTTGAGATGATGGTACGACAACACCACACAAGTCACAGGGTTTGCTTCATGTTTATTGGTTGTAAAGTGCAGGCATCTAGAAAAGGTCTTGCATCACTTTACAGTTAAAACTCTGCGATCCTGCGGAAGGAACCAACACCGGGCGAGGACGCCCCCCAGTCGCTGTGCTGTCGGTATTCGCCCCGCTCCAGAAGGTACTGGTGCCCCCTGTAGTTGGGGAGGTCATACAAGACCCAGGCGCCATCTGTTACCACACAGGAGTAGGCCTCACGCATCTTGTAGGTATCATAGACCGAAGAACAGTCATCGGAGCACTCCACCATCTGACCGCTGAAGTCTGGCCTCTCGTAGAGCCTCAGCTTGCAGGCACTGCCGTAAACCTGCAAACAAACAGATTTTCAAGGCAGCTTTCAAAAAATGATATTAGTCCTGGCAGCTTTGATCACTTTGRAATCATTTGACAGCTTTTTTCAAAAACCATCTGCAAGCTTTGAAGTCTCAGCAGAGCCTACATTCTTCACGCCTCGGCAGGACTTGACGTTGTCGCTGAAGGCCATCCACTGCTGGCTGTCGGCGTACTCCCCCGGGGTAAGGACGTACTGGAAGCCCTTGTAGTTGGGCCTCTCGTAGATGACCCACACGCCACTCTCCACCCGGATGGAGTTGCAGCGGCTGAAGTGCGTGTGCAGGTCGGCGCACTCGCTGCTGCAGTTGTAGCAGCGGCCCTGGAACTTCTTCTCTTCGAAAAAAGTGATCTGTGGGAGGAAACACAAGCGAGCCTTTAATAAACACACATTATTTTCTAACTGTGGAAAAGCTTGAGCTTACCTTTCCCATTTGGACGCACTGCAGACCTCATTCTTTGCTGCAGCTCCATCAAAGTATTTATCCGTAAACAAAATGTGCAGAGTGTGGCAAAAGTCTTTGATACTCAAATGGGGCAGATTTAAATATCAGCAGAATAGCCCCYTGTTGTTTGATTTGCCTTTGTTGGAGCCTGATGATGACTTGCTATCAAACACATGCTGGAACAGTYAAAGGCAGAGGGTCCCAGTTAGCTGCCAAAGACCTGATTGGTTATTTTACTGTAAAACCTTTGTTTCATCTTTGTGTCGGTGTCAAAAAACTTCACATCCTGAACTGGCATGAAACTAGAAACCTGGTGGCTTTTTATAGAGTGACTATGCTGTACAAAATAATTCCTTGATGCTGTGATCCTAAAAGTTTGTTTTGCAGAGTTAAAAAGTGCATTTACAGCCCATGGTACATCTATTTATGTAAGAATTTCATTAGTGTGGTGGAAATGTACAAATGTGTCTAGAATTTAGTAGATGAAGAACAATGTGGGATCACCAGAATATGGCAKCATAATTTATTTTGCAGCTGTTGGTTTTGTGTAACACTTGGGGGTGTGGTAGGGGGAGATGGTATAGGGTTTGATTCATATTAATTAAAACTATTGTTTTTTAAGATAAAACTGTTGTTTTGATAAACAAGTTCCTGATGAACTTTATATCTCAAGTTTAAAGCAAAAGCTGAACCAGTGACCAGCTTTGCAGTTGGAATAGAGATGGTTCCAGCTCGCATTTAAAAGGTATTTAATGAACAGTGAATTTGTGGATGTGTATGTAAAATTAACCCCAAATACTGTAAAAGTACACAAGAAATATATATAACTATATTAAAGCGGCTGTTCCCAAACTTTCCCAAGCATTRGTGGAGGGAAAACGTTCTACAGAGTTTTTATATATATAATTTTTTACTTGGATTAGCTTATAGGTTTGGTCATTCTTCAAAACAGATACCCTACAGACGTWTGTAAATCAAAACATTTAGATTTTTTCGATTTTCTGTGCGGCCTAGTACCAAATGACCTGTGGTATGAGTTATTTGTCTGATGGTTGGGGATGTATAACTTGGCCAAGWAAGTCTACATAAACACTCAAATGTTAAAGGGAAGCAGAACAAGTCCAAAGTCTGTCATTGACTCACATCTTGAACATTTAATAAAACCTTCAGATAAGGCACACTTGAAGTTGCTGAACTTGTCAGAAGCCAAGTAAAATTGCATTAAGAAAAAGTGGATTATGTTAATTTTTTAATACTTCCCCTCTGGTTCTTTATAGTTCCCTTTCAGTCAATTCACTCGGTACAACATCATGTATGGGAACCACGCCCCTGCGTGTCCTGGCTGAAGCC